CGCCCACGGGCTTTTCATTACATTACCGCCTTATGGTAGAGATGGATTTATTTTTTAATTTAATTGCACTGTACTTCTAAACGTCAAGATTAAGCAAAAAGTTTTTATTTTCACATAAATTTGAAGTATAGAAAAAACGAAACATTTGCAGTTTAAGTATATTCTATTGAATTAATTTTATAAATCCAAATTCTGCATTATTTTTAGTATATTTAGAATTGTTTATTGTACATCTAATACATCATGGCTGCATGCACTTTTGCCTTTTAAATTCAATTATAAAACTTAAACTTAATTAAAACCAAAGTTGGATTTTAAAACAGTCGTTAAAACCAATCCCTGAAAAGGTTTTCGGTGTTTTACAAAACACCGACGATGGATCTGCCAAATGATTGAAGTCCAGAAGAAAGTGAAAGACCAGAAGAAGCGGACAGGAAGAAGTCAGTAAGGAATGTTGCTAATTGAAATCCGTAGTCTATATATCCCATTGTTCGACAGGAGTGATCATAGTAGTATATAATAATAGTGATTATCTGGCATGTTATATATTAATATTCTATTTGATAGCGTTTGTTCACCAACATGACATTGATGGCGAAACGCAGGTCGATTCAAGTTAAAATCAACTGTCGTAACTCAAATTGTGAAATTGAGATGACACGATTTAGAAATAAAAAGAAGATACTGGTTGAAACCAATACGTATATATAACAACAGGTATGTGTTTAATTAATTTATAAACATAAAAGTAGAAATAGTAGAGTTTTCAAATGTATTTTTATTCTATTATATATTATATTGGCAATAATTAGATTTTATTGTGGTGGCAACATAATTTGATTCGTTCCTCTTCCAATTTGGCTGTACTCGATGCTGGTGTCATCGAAGTTAATATTTTAGAAAATTTGAGCATTGCACTGTAGTCCAGTGCTCAAATTTATGCTTGCATTTTTATTTATCCATGCAAGTAGTGGTCCTTCGAGCCGGATATAACAATATATGTATAATATTAATATATTCTCGTTTATAAATGGGTAATTAAGAATTATATACTATTGTATATTATTAACTAAATTGTTTTTAAAATTTTAGTTCACTTTTCCATCATTTGTAAAATTGTTTTGTTGTAAATCCACAAAATATGTATCGAATTACCTAAACTCTAAAGTGAAAAATTGGCTCAAATGAGGATATTTAACAAATTATGAAGACACACACGAACACGATCACGCCCACTCGCTCCCTCACAAGCACGCGTAAGTCATTTAATTGCTTTGTAAGTAATCATTTTTTAATTTCCTATTGTTTATTAAACATAAGTAATGTTAATTAGATTTTAGGAATTTTCTCGTCTGTATTAACTTTTCGCGTATAATATAGGGTTTTTCAATAAGAACTTTGTTTTGTAAATCAAAATAAAACAATAAATTTAGATGACAATGATTCAAATTTTTATTGTATTAATAAAAGTAAGGTTTGGCAATTACACTAAATTACAAATTTTGACTTTAAAAAAGTATTCTTCGAGCAAAGTAGTTTTTTTTATTTATTTTCACATGCTGGTAACGAAAACAATAATTATTTATATAAATTAGTTTCCATTTATTAGAAATAAAAAAATACAAAATTATGCAAAAATATCAAAAAAATTACTGTTATTCTATTCATTAGCAGAATTTCGACGACGTTTATTTGCAGCTCTCTTATATTCTGCTTCTGGAACATCCCGATAAATAGTCCAACAATAATCCGCCAACATTGAAACGTTCCACTTGCCCTGATATCGTTTTTCCATGTTTGCGATGTCCTGATGGAAACGCTCCCCATGTTCATCGCTTAAAGCCCCACAATTATCCGGAAATAAGTCCAAATGAGAATGTAAAAAGTGTATTTTCAAGGACATATTACAACCTAGTTTTTGGTATGATGATAACATATTTTCGACAAGCTCAGCATAGTTGTCACTTCTTTTATTTCCCAAAAAGTTTCTTGCCACAAGGCGAAAATCGTTCCAGGCTTGTTTTTCTTTACCTTCTAGCACAGAGTCGAAATTAACATCGTTAAATAAATTTCTTATTTGCGGACCGATGAATATACCTTCCTTGATCTTAGCTTCACTTAATCTTGAGAATTTCTGGCGTAGGTATTGAAAAGCAGCTCCACTTTTGTTCATCGCTTTTACGAAATTTTTCATCAGCCCTAGTTTTATGTGTAATGGTGGAAGTAACACTTTTTGTGGATTAACTAAAGGGCTATTTTGAACATTTTTTTGCCCAGGTTGAAGTGACTGACGTTGTGGCCATACCTTTTTTGTATAATGCTCTTTTCTATTACGACTATCCCATTCGCAAACAAAACAACAAAATTTTGTGTAGCCTAATTGTAGCCCAAGCAGCAGAGCTACGACTTTCAAATCTCCGCAGATTTGCCATTGGTGTTCATTATACTTAATGCACAACAAAAGAGTTTTCATATTTTCATAAGTCTCTTGCATATGGACTGCGTGAGCAATAGGAATTGAAGGTAAAATATTTCGGTTATGTAACAAAACAGCTTTTAAACTTAATTTAGAGCTATCTATGAAAAGCCTCCATTCATTCTGTTTATATGTAATGTTAAGAACTCCCATCAAACCACTGATATCTTTACAAAAAACTAAACTTTCAACCATTTCAAAATATTGTATCAACTCTTTTTGTCTAGTACGGAAAGCTGTTATAGCCACACCACTTTCTAAAAGATTCCACTGTTGCAGTCTCGAGCCTAGAAGTTCTGCTTTGTTCTTTGGCAATTCCAAGTCCCTTACAAGATCATTTAATTCAGCTTGCGTTATCATGTGTGGCTGTGATGATGTAGTAGGTACTTCGTATTCTGACATTGAGGAAATAGATGGTGAAGTAGATGTGATTTCATCTTTGTTGTCGTTAATTTTAGGAGGTTTGGGGATTGGGTGAAGATCGCTATGCGGCAGAGGGCGACCAGCCGATGGTACATTTGGATATACTATGGCACTTTTCTTTTTTTTAGAAACACCTTTACCTTTTCCGAATACTTGGGTTGTCAGGCAGAAATAACAATCAGTTGCGTGATTTGTCGATTCCCGCCATTGCATTGGCACTGCGAAACGAAGTGATGTTTTTTTGCCACTCAGCCAATTTCTCAAACCTGTAGCACACGAATTGCAGCAGAAATGTGGAACCCAGCTTTTGTCCTGGTGTGATATGTCTTTGTTAAAGTAGTAAGAATAGGCTTTTTTATCATAGGCGATATAGAACACCTTTGTTTATTAAATATCACCTCTCCGCAAACGTAACAAAAATTGTCGGGATTATTCACACATTTCCGAGACATTATGTTATAAAATAATTTTTAGTTTCACTTTTTTTTCACTTTTAGCACATTTATTATTCAGTAATACAGAACAGAGCACTAATGTACGATATTTTTAACAATTGATGCCAACTAACAAAGTTAATATGAACACTGTCAAGTTGAATGAGGGTAGAATCGTAAAATTTGGGAGATAGGAGGTATCTTGAAAACTTAAACTAATAAATTACTTTTACTTATCAAATCGTATTTGGCATGTATAGACAAGCAGAAATTAGTTAAAATTATTTCGGATACTTTTGCATTGTAGACTAGTGTTATTAATGAAAAATGATATCTGATAAATGTCCACCACGACCACAGTTACAGATGTCGATTCTTTCCATAAAGTTTTTAATCACTTTTTGAGAAAGTGGTGGGTTTATTTGGTTAATCACTTCAAAAATTGTGAGTTTTAAGGCTGCAATCAATTCGATTGGCTCCGTATAGACTCTGTCTTTAACATAACCCCATAAAAAATAATCCAGCGGTGTTAAATCATATGATCGAGCTGGTTACTTAACGGCTGAATTTCGTGAAATTATCGGGAAATTTGGTTTGCAATAAATTAATTCATTGTTTCGGTGGCAATGTGACTTGTGCCGTTGGCATTGGGCCGTTTTTTTTCGAAAATTCGGCTGGAAATGCGGTGACGGTGAATGGATCACGCTATCGCGAGATGTTAACAACTCAATTTTGGCCTAGCATTGATGACATGGATATCACTGACATGTGGTTTCAACAAGACGGTGCCACATGTCACACAGCCAATGAGACGATCAATTTATTGCAAACCAAATTTGCTGATCGCGTAATTTCCCGAAATTCAGCTGTTAAATGGCCAGCCAGATCGTGTGATTTAACACCACTGGATTATTTTTTGTGGGGCTATCTTAAGGACAGAGTCTATACGGAGCCAATCGAATCGACTACAGCCTTAAAACTCAAAATCCGTGATGTGATAGCCGAAATAGACCCGACATTTTGCCAAAAAGTGATTAAAAATTTTGATGAAAGAATCGACTTCTGTCAGCGTGGTCGTGGTGGACATTTGCCAGATATCATTTATCATTCATAATTGCCGAACTTTTCTCTTTGTAATACAATAAAAATTTGAATCATCTTCATCTAAATTTTTTGTTTTATTTTGTTTTAGAAAACAAAGTTCTTGTTGAAAGAGCCATTATATATTCTACATTCCTCCTTCAATTGGTTACCTACGAGATAGACTTTGCCTAGTGTACGAGCCAGTGTAACCGGTTTAGGAAAAGTTTAAGTATATGTCATGAACGTATTCCATAATGTGTAAAATAATATATCTCACTTCCATGTCTGTTATCTGAAATACAACGGTATTTGTTTTTATGTATGTACAAATAAATTACTTACTGACTTACTATATATAAATAATAGTATTCACATTATTCGCAATAAGAGCCATTCAATTTTGAGTTATGATAGTACTTGGTTTCACGTGCGATATGTACTTTCATATAACCACCAAGTACAAAATTGAGATCAATTTCGTGTAAGTAAATGTACTTGTAGTGAGTCTAGTAGTTTTAATAAACTAACTTAAAATTATCAAGTCTTTTCAGTTCTCCTGCAAGTTAATATAAAAACGTTAAATATTGATTTTGTTGCATACGTTTATTTACAGTTCTTTCGGTTTTACAGGTTCCTTTTGCCATTTTCAAAAACAGAGAATTATTCTTTAATTCAGGTACCTAAAGCATCTTCATTCACAGCCGGGACTGAAATAAAAAAAAGATTAATAAGAAGAAGAAAAGGTAAGCTATTAACTAAGCATTAATGCCAGGTAACTAAGCAAAATATTATATCAAAAATAAGTATTATTTCCAAAATTCTGTCGAACCACTTCATTAAAATTACTTTTGACATCTCGAGCAAGCGCTACAATATTACCTCGTAAACGTGTCTAAAAAATAATAACAAACGTGTATAAAAAAGTCCTTAGAGACTTACCTGTGATCCAGTATGAATAGCGAGCATCATGTCTAACTCGTTAGTCGCAATTGAGATTTGAGCTCGGCCGTCGCTACCCACGGTAATGGTCTTGCCTGTGCATGAACTTCCACTCCTCGATCCCGAGATTATATCACAGTATCTACCAGCAGGGAGACCAGTCTGAAATAAAAATACTTATTTCTGAGAATATGTGACACTATAAAAATAAATAAATATAAGTGCAGTAATTACACGTTATAGCAAATAATAATAATAATAACAAGGCAGATCACCATCGTGCGCAGAACTAACAACAGACGGAAAAACCGGTAAACCATTCTTATCATCACAGCAACCAAATCGATACCACCAATGAACTTAATTTTTGAACTTGTTCTGTTTTTAATGTTTTTTGTTTATTTTTTATTTTCACAAAATTCTTTCCTTTATTTTTTTTTTCAATTTTGTTATTCGTTTCTTTATTTCCTCACAAAATTTGGGGAGCTTAATATGAGTAAATAAATATGGCTGTATACAAAAACAACAGAAAATGTAGAAAAATAAATACAAAGTTGGCGTAGTGTTCATTGGAGGATTCAAAATGGTTCGTACAAATACCGATATTATAGACAACGTACTTGGAGACTCTGGTCAAGATTCCATCCGTCATTATTGAAAGCGATGAAAGCAGCATTGCCTCGGCTGAAGGCGATTTGATTGCTACCATTATCCCACCAGTTATTAACGCCATGACCACCGGCAACATTCCTGAAGGCAACCATCTGGAAGATCTGCCGCCAGCGGTGTTCACACACCCAGCCGTTACCACAAGTGTTGTCCTAGATGAGATAATACATTTTATGTTAATCTTCAAACAAGAAATTAAATTTATAAACTCATTTATATTGAACAACTGTAATATTTGCACTTTTCAATTCAGTGAAGTCATAATAATAAATAAATCAACAGTTCTTAAAATAGTAAGAAGACGGATAAAATAATATTTCGAGAGGACATTTTTGTGCAACTAAATTATCTGACATCTAGTATACATAAACCCTAAATTAATGCAAACTTTTGACATCTAGAAACTATTCAAGCGAGAGACAGTTTTATTACTTACTGCGTTAATTGAAGGGGAAATGATGTTGCCATTGCCGTCTTGTGGGGGTCCAGCTTCAGTGTTGGTGAACGCAAAACTGCTCATCACCTGGGGTTGACCGTAAGGATGAGCCAACATAAATGCAGTAGCTGCCTTGTACTGTCTATCCCGTTTGTAGGTAAGAATGTCGCCACCAGCACCGTGACCTCTTTGGTTGTCATGGTTGTCAATGAAAACTAGAGCAACATCGGAAGCAAGAAGATTCCATTGTGGTCCCCAGTTGTATAGCCACCTTAGTTGGGTTTGACGTAGGAAGGCTCTGCTGAGCTCTATACCAAATCTGAACTCAGTGACAGGAGCAAGAGGAGTGTATTCATTTCGAGATACAGCTTCATTTCCAATATCAATGACTTCCTGGTAGATATAAGGACGAGCGCCAGATGGGAAACCATGGGCAGTGTTAAGGTTGTGTAGCCTGTCGTAGATGATTCTTAGGTCACCGGGCCACATGTGTTTGGCGGCATCAATTCTATAAAAGAACACACGATTTAGCTGCAACATTATATCTAAAACGCAATTATAATCTATAACTACACAAAACAAGTTACCTGAAACCAGCAACACCAAGTTCGATCAGGCGGTTCATGAATCCAACGATTTGACCACGTACATATTCCGTACCTTGATTCAAGTCTTTCAAACCTGAAAGCTCGCAGTTGCGTACCTGGGAACAATTTCATTCGAATAACGATTGATAGTATGTTACACTTTACCTCAGTTAGTAAATTATAATTCTTAACATTGTTAATAGCATATAACATATAACAATGTTAATAATACTCAATTCAGTTGGTTCTGATTCTCTTGACTTATTTTCTTGAGTTGATGACCGGTTTTTAAACCAGATTTTTGTGAAGTATTTCTCTGTTTCAATAAACAAAACTTAAATAGTCACAGTTTTCGGCCTCTTAGTGTCATCCGAGGTCTGTAGCCGTACTCACAAAAATTTACGTTAGAAAAATTTATGTGTCAATTATTATAGGGAATTTAGCCCTTATGAGAGTTTACTCACAAAACTGGGAGATACCTACACACTTTTTCACATTATTTCCCAGATTTCTATTAGTGAGACCCAATCTCGGAACTTGTGTCCAGCAATAATAACGCACACACCCGACATTGCCCCGCACTATTGAAACCCTGTGTCGCGGGTGCCATGGTCACACAAATAGACAATTAAAAATTACACCTAAACTCACGAGACAAATAAATGTAGGCCATACAAACATTTCTCCCGGCCCGGGAATCGAACCTGGGACCTCTGCGTGGCAGTCCGGCATGGTAACCGTTCGGCCACAGAGGCAGTTAAAGTTGGAATATAAAGGATTTATAGTGAAAGAAAGGCTGACTTTGGGAGATAAATAGGAGACCCTGACTTACTCTATCTGCACAGCAGCCATAGTCGCCGGGTTGAATCACACAATGAGGAGAATTGAAATCGTTACGACCGTAAGGCACAGCAGGATAGTGCCAGTTGCCGAAATTAGCAGTGCTGCCACCAGTACCAACATTCTCGTTCCACGTTCCAGTCATGTGATTGATGATTGCGTCAACATAGATCCTGCAAAATAGTTTTGGAATCTAGTAATCTGTTTTATTCATATTTCACAACAAATTCTTCGTTTGCTTGAGATAGAGAAAAAATATCAATTAGAGCAAACTTCTGTTAGAAAAATTTCAGTTATTCTTATTAGACTAAATAGTACTTTAAGTTATGACATTTACACATTTAGCGCTCTAGGAGGTAGTCGTAATTACATTTATTAGAATCATACCTAACACCAGCGTTGTTGCAGCGTCGGACCATGCTGGTGAACTGTTGCTCATTACCTGAGCGGGTAATCAGTCGGTATGAAATGGGTTGGTAGCGCTCCCACCATGGACGGTTGTAAGCCCGAATTATCAGATTTTCACTGGGTGGAGATATCTGTCAGGTAGAATAAACATTCGTGTTATATATCGAGTTCCTGAGTCTTATACAAAGACTGAATTACATTCATAGAGTATACTATACAGTATATACGAAAAAGGACCTTAATTGTCTTTTCAGAGATTGGCTTAAGTGGTCCAGTAAGTTAGAATCATGTTGGAACTCAATACATACATGTGTATATTATATATACATATATAGCGACGTCACTTTTATCAATCTTTTCATATAGGTACACTCGTCAAATCAGGAGATAATCCACTACGTCAGGACTAGAGTATTGCAGTGAGCACTGAAAATCACACTCAAGTCCTTGCCATTAGGGTCGTATTTCCAGTGCTTGAAATCATACTAAATCCTGACTTGAACATTGAGTAGGGTTCTAAAATACGACCCTAAGTATTTTTTAAAGAACATTCTAAATATTGATTATTACCTGGACACCACCATACCCGTTAGGACCCAGGAAGCGTTCGCACTCAGCTGCGATGTCGTCCCACTTCCACTCAAAGAGATGGACCATGGTGGAACGGCCTGCGGCGTAGTGGGGATTGCGATGCGCCACGGTCATGGCCACAGCCGTTAGAAGAAGGACGAGTCGAAACATCCTGACAATTTGAGGTCTCAAATCATTCTAAGGTTATCTTTCGTAAATATAAATCATAAAATAAAAACTTCAAATCAACCAACAAAAGAACGTCATAAAACTCGTATGTATTTATGAATTATTTGATAGGTGTAAATTTTTGTTAAAATATCGAATACAAGCCATTTGTATCTTTACTCTTGAATTGGAAGTAAAATCCCTTACGAATTCCAAAAGACATCTTTGTGTACTTTGTTTTTTGTTCTAGCAGGTAATTTATTATACTACTAAGCTGTGTGTAGGTTATGGCATAATTTGACTTATATTGTATTATCAGCCCGTTTAGTTTTATTATCTGAATACCAAAGACTTACCTGGAGTCCCAAAACTGTACCACTGTATTAAAAAAACTAGTTAAGGCCACCCATCGCGATTCTTTTTTATACCAGAAGATAAGCTAAACATACCACAGATATACATAAATATCTTAGAGATTTATCGTATTATATATAAAAAGAGATAGTGTGGAATAAAGGATGTTTGAAATAAATTAAAAAAGATTTCCTATCTTCGGTGTCAATAATACGATTTATCATCTTAAAATTTTGTAGTAGAGTAACTGGGATGTATATTTTTTAGGACATCAAACAACAAGAAAGAAAGAAAGAAACATTTATTCGGCTATTACAAACATATATATACAAATAATAATAATAATATTAATCTAAATTTAAATTAAAGAATAAACCTTAAAAATTATCAGTTGGAGCCTGAGAAGAGGTAGATGGCTATGCCTCTTTGACAAAATATAAAAAGAATAACAAGTATTTGATCCGTAACCTAAACATTAAAATAACAATACCCAATTTATAATAAAATTATTACAATATGCAGCGTGCTCTTAAACAATATAAAATAACAAAATTAATAATAATAATAATGTCTGAGTCATAATAATACTAAAACAAATTAACAACTAGCTTCAGTGATTGATGCCGTTTACTTGTCCTATTAGCGTAAACTCTTTAATTATTTTGTGAAAGCCATATAAAGAAGTCAGTCAGAAGAAAGCCAGATTAGACGAACTAGTCGTGCACCTGGTGGTAAGCGATATGCCTATCCATGACAGTTGCAGTGCCACTCAGAATTTTAAATCGCATAGATCTGAGGGGCACTGCCACTGTACCCGTCATCCTGAGACATAAGTTGACAAGTCCCATTTGCATATAATTTCACCACACCCCTGACACTCCATACAACAGTCGAAAATTATTCACCTACGACTACTACATACAGCAAGGCGCTATCTGCACACGCGTGAATGTGTGCGTGAAGTGGCATGGGTTACCTACCCATCACTTGCTCATAATTACGTTGCCAAAGCGGCAACATAGCGAAAAATCCTAACGCGAATCTATTATCTATCATTCTATTATAGAATCCTAATAATCACACACGTTCATTACGTATTTATATCGATATAATACTATATTTTTTATTAATTCATTAAATAAAAAGATTTATTTAAAAAATATATTAAAAGCACTTAAAATGTTATATTTTAAAGTATTTGAAATTGCGTGTCCAACTTTATCATTACCTAGTTAATAATTAGGTATATTCACTACGTAATATTTATCAGCAATACAAATAGAAAATTCTAGAACCCTCGTTTAGCTCACGAAGTTATGGCGTCGTATTATATTGATATAATAAATCTGTGTTATATACTCAGCACTAAAGAAAACAATATAACTGAATGAGGTTCAGACATAAGTTTTTTTTTAATTTACTTCGTTTCATCTTTCAAAATACGAAAGAAACTCCTCTCTTTATCCCGTTTAGATGATTATAAACAGCCGTACACAGTACAATTCACGACCATTATAAATAAATAATATAAATAATAACTTAAAATGATGTTATATATTAACGTACAAATTTCGTAATGAATAAATGAAAACTATATTCAAACATCAAAGCCGTCTTAGCGTGAAATCGGCTCGCCGACAGCCTTGTACTCGTTCAGTCAATGTGACCGTCAATGTGCGGTATCTAAAGCTAGGGAGAGCGGAGAGTGTCCGTTCTCATTACTTATTTGTTCTCTGATTTCACCACAACCCTTAGCCTTTAAAACCGGAATGCTGTAATGCATTACTGCTTGGCGGCAGAAATAGGTAAGGTGGCAGTACTTCCTTGGACAAACTCTTTCACAGGGACCTCTACTGCTACTACTTCTAAAAATAAAATTATCCTTTTGAAACTAAGAAATTTCCACATTTTCACTTCTCATTCCAATCTGCAACCTGATGGTATTGATATTCTTCCTCCACAGTATTATATTGCCTTCTAAACCGTTTTGTGCTTTTCACTGTCAAACTTTTAACAAATAATGTAGGAAATTAGTCGAACTCTAATTTAAAGTTAGACGCTTTCAGATAATTAATAACACAAATAGAGGTTTGAAGGGTAACATCAAGTCAAAAATTCATAATAGTAATACGCGTTGACTCTGCAAATTATTAAAGTCGAAAATTTTATTTAAATTTAATACAGACTGTGAAACGATCAGCTTAATTTGCTAAGTAATCCTTTAATGATGCCTTAAAACATGCTAATGCTGATCAGTCACTAATTCATATTGATCACATGTATGATAATATGTACCTAATAGTAATTTTTATAGCATTTTAAATCAAAACTTCAACGAACGATACGATTCACGTACTTATTTTATTTATTATGTCAAAGGCAATAAATAGAAAAGAAATACATTATTCTGAACAACGACTTGGTCTACCAGAAGGATGCAATTTTCACCTGTAACAATAAATGTATAACAACCAAAATGTTAAATCAGGGATTACCGTAACTTGATTGATTGGTAAAATATTAATCGCTTAGCAAACTCCCGCTTAGTAATCAAGGTGATAAAGTCCGGACAATGGCGTTTCTCTTTATCAAATTCGTTTGTATGCTTCTTACAATATGATTATCTAAAGTGTAAAGCCCAACGTGATGTTGACTTAATCGACCTGCTGTATATTTTACTAATAACAATCTTTAAGCAGGTAATACCACTGGCAAATAAAAAATACTTGTTAAGCAAATGATAACTTTGTTGATCAAGCCAAAAAATCCTTGAAGACGTTGACGAAAATGCGAAACGACTAAATTATGATACGGAGTCATTGCAATATTAATTTTTTCTTAGCCTGCATTTGTCCATCTTAAATGTGAAAGAACTTAATTGACAACATTATTACAACGTTACACATACACAACATTGAATTACAGTAGTTTACGCGCTCATTTCAATTGTTTTTAT